AGGTAGCTTTTAAGAGAGCAAGAAGGTCTCACTTGAGCCTCCTCTTCTCCAAAGAGGGAGACTCCCTGAGTCTCCTCTTCGTCAGATTCAGTGTTCTGGAACATGGACCTACTACCTTTATTAGGAAAAAATTATAAACTGTTTCACTTGCTGAAGTACTGTGCTGCCACTGCACATACTCAGGGTGTTGCTCATCAGCTTTTCTCTGACTGGAACGCTGAAGATCCAAAATGTATTCTCAGTGCTCTGCAGTAGATATGCCATCAGGTGAAACAAGGTGGGAGTTTGGTAAATACATTTACCAAATCCATCTGTACAGCAGAATTATGTAAGCTGCATTTAATAGTTCCAATAATGTTAAGTATGTTGAAATCTAACACAGTAAGTTACACAATTAACCACAATCAGTGCTTTTTCCCTAGTTCTTAGTCTGGTGTCCTTAGGCTTATTCAGTCTTCTACAAACCCCCCAACCATAAAAGAGCTTAAAACAATAACATATTTATAAACAACTAGTTTGAGCAGCACAAACACTTAGGAAGGAGACAGCTTCATCCATGTTCCTTATGTCATTCTTTCCCAATAACCAATGATATGCTCTGTAGCAAAGTTACTAGGGAAGGCAGAGCACACCACATGCTTCTGTATGCATTTAAAGGGCTACGTCTGCTCAAAGACATACCCAGCAATTCAGAGCTCCCAAACTCATTACAATGCATCAATTTTATCAATGCATACAATGTACATTGCTACCCTTCAATGTTACAAAACAGTTATACATTTTCTCCAGACAAGAACCGTTCTGTTTCTGGTAGGACCATTTATGAAATGCTCTCCGAGTCACTGGTGATATTAGATTTTAAAAGCGTAACAATAATAGTAATCTGATTATTAAAAAAAAAGAGGGGGGGGAGTAGAGAGAGGGAGACATGATCAGAATGTCATTCACTTCCACTGAAAGAGCAAATATATAAAGATCAAGTGTTACAGAACGCATTTGAAGGCCACATGGAACAAGCCTTATTTGGATTTTTTTTTTTTTTTTTTTTTTTTTTTTAAACCAACGTGGCAAGGCAAAATTACATAATAAAAACTTCCTTTGTGGATGTCTGAAAAGTAGCTGGCATGAGAAAATGATCTTCTGCCCCTTTGAAAACAAACTACCAACAACGTACAAAATTCAATAAACAGTCTATTTCTTGTCCTCAAAGGTCAGCACACTTTCCCAACACTTCTCCCACTACACACACAACTTCATTCAGTTCTCTTTCTGCTATGTTCTGGTACTTCAGGAGATTATCTAGACCCCCCTACAGTTACCCTCAAAACCAGCACATGTCAAGCAAATTAAAATACAAATCATGACTTGCAATATTCTGATGTGTCATAATGGCAGCATGCTGCATGACTTCAAGTGAATCACCAGATAAAGTAAAAGTTGCAGTCTGAGGAGTCAATGCTTTCTACACATTGTTCCTACTAAGTTAGGGTCAGTGACTTCTAGCTGATGTGGAAATTCTAATTTAAATGAAAGTATATATTCACAGATCCCATCAAGCACAGTAAAGCACAGAAAGGAATTTAAAGCACCTCTTGGAACTAAAAGTCAGTTTAAAACTGTCTTACAGAAGTAGAAAGGTAAGAAGGGGAAATGGTTCTTGCCTTTCTAGAAGCAAGGCGACGTACTTTTATTTTTTGCATTAGACCTTTGACATCATTCTACATGGACGACTACATGGGATGAGGGGCAATATGTCAGTAAAGAATGCAAGTAAACAATACAATTGTTTTCTTTTAACTTGCACTATGCATGCAGGTCTTATCTAGTTCACAACACATGATGATTCACCCTGATAAAGACTTAAAGGCTGACTGAAAAGCACCGACTCTTCCACCAGCCTACAAAGGTATGCATTATGCTGGCCAAGTTAAAGCACAGGAGCATGCCCTAATGAACAATCAGCACAATGGCAGCTGAGCAACGGAAAGGAAAGCAAAACACTGAATTCTACTTTTTCATCACAATATATTTGTGCCTATTTGGTCTCAGTTCCTAAACATTACGCTGGCAAATGCCAAGCAGGCACTTCCACAGAGCACCACAACCTCAAAGAGCTCCAAACAAGAACTGTCAGTATATTTACCTGCTTCCTAGCATTGGATGCCAAAAAAAAAAAAAAGAAATTAAAGTGCCGAGTATGCCTAGAACATGAGTTACCACAGTCTTGGAGGATATAGTTCTCTTCTAAAACATTATGAGATGCAGAGACAAGGGCAAGTTGCCTGGGGTGGAGAACAACTATCTCCATAAGAGTATCGTGTCACCTTTCCTTTAGTCACAACTAAAGACAGAGCACTAGAGTGCAATTTTCCATACTAATTATTCCAACAGATCTGCCATGGTTTTTCCCTTTATATATATATATATATATATATATATATATATATTCCCCTATATGTTTAGAAATAACATATTAGCACAAAATAAAAACTGAGAAAAACATCTGATATTTATTTTGCCTATATTCTGCAGCATACAAAGTCCCCAATTTCTGTATTGTTGTAATACCTCCCATTTAACAAACGCAAGCAATTATTTCCCACAAAATTTCAGCAGATCTACAGTATTTCTTTATTCAAGGCACTGATAATTTTCTTGTCAAAACCATTACTCTTCCAACTCAGTTCTCTTTATTTTTAGACCATTGTTTTATGATGCATAATAGAGGGTATTTTTTCCATTTGTTTTCATTAAAATTTTAACAGGTTACGTTAAAACCAGCATATAAGAAAGCTTCAAAAGTTTTAACAAAGGTGTTCCACATATCTAAATGTCTACAAGACCCCAGGAGAGTGTCACTGGGATAATGCAATGACCTCTTTATCATTTCAATCTATCCATAAGGACTACATTAATGGCTATGTTTGATGCTCACTTTGTGTGAACATCCAAGCCTCCAATTTTTCTTTACAGCTTTTCTGGCGCAGTTTCACGATAGAATATTAAACAATTACTATTAATTCCATAAAAACTTTAAAATATATTCTGCAAGAGTCACTGTCTCACTTCCCACCATGGTAACGAATGCAGCTACCTCATAAAAAGATAACAGAAGAAATGACTGAAGTCATATAAAGTGCTTTTTGAGCGTGGATCTCATGATGTTTAGCCAAGGACACCAGACGATTTGCATTTTGCAAAACAGGTAATCTGTAAGCAAGGGCCACACAGCAAGCAAATGGCAGAGCAGGCGATATGCTCAGGTCATTGGATTACCACTCCAGCAGTACAAAGCCACGTGGCCCAGCGAGATCTCCTTTAACCCATTCCATTGCACCAAGCAAAAGCTGCACATGCCAGCCTCAACAGAGGAATAAGAAAACAACCAGCCACTAAGTACCAAGAAGATATCACTTCCCTATTTCCACCATCTGCAAATTTGCCTTCAGAGAATGAAGTGAACAAAGTTACAGGGCGTCTATCGCATTGCGTGCCTGGAGGAGCAAGATAACACACTTATGTGTGTTTCATCATTATCTTCCTTCTTTGGTTCAAGGACACGTCACACAAGATGTGTCCTCACACTGCCTTGCTCCCTCCTGAAAAACATATGTGTTCTCAGCAGTGTATGCCCACGGGAATCAAAATGAAAAAACAGATGAAGGAAGAGAGCCACAGCAAACTTGACCATTAAACTTGAGCAGATCATAAAAACACAGCACAGGAGGGTCAGGATACTCATTCGTAGGTCAAGCAAACTTTGACATAAAGGCACATAACTGCAGTCAACTTCATTCTAGCAACACATCTCCTTGATTAAGGAAAGACATTTCACTGTGAGAGTGTTACTGATCAAAAATCCTGTCCCTCCAACTCATCCACACCACGCACCTCTAGTTCCCAGGCACACAGACATAAGGTGAACTACAAGTCCTTATTAGCTAGATAAAGACCAAAGTAATAATTGCAAGCTTGGTACTGGCAAGGTTTCTCTCCTTCATTCTTCATCACTTACATTCATAAAAAAAAAAACAGTGGTGGTGGGTCTTTTTTGTTTGTTTGTTTTTTTAATTGACCCAAACCACCTTTATAGTCCAAAGAAGCCAATATACCAAATACGTACCCAACGTATTTTCATTATCCCTTAGAAAGGCATTCACCCTGCTGGAGTTCATACTGCTAAATGGAATGCCTCATGAAAAGAGGAGATTGCACACCTAAGAGCCTTCACCCAACTTTCATGTTCTACACAGTGCTAAGAACTCATCGTCCATGCACACACAAGATTAATCGTTCACACCTTCACACTGTGGTTCCAAAATTTGGAATTTACACCCAAAAGAAGCCGCTTCTCCTTCAGAGCCAACAAACTGAGAAGATGCTAGAAGCGCTAATCTACGCGGGTTCCATCCCGCCATACGGCTCTGCTGCTCCACGCCCGCTGCTGGAACGGGGCAACACGGGGCTGCGGTGCGCGCAGCGCCCCTCAGGAACAGGCGGCTGAGCCGCTGCCCCCCTACCGGTACCGCTCCGCGCTGATGGCCGAGCAGAATAACGCCGTTCCACGCACAGCTCGGCATTGTGTAACCGCTCCTGCCAACGGCACCTCTCGCAGAACTTGAGGCTTTGATTTCTTGCGTTCAGCACATACATATTTCAGTGCCGATATCCCCACGGATCCATCCCTTCCCCAGGCCTGCGCGCCTGACTGCTCCCCTACCACAAAGCAGTCGGGGGCTGGGGGAAAAGGGGGCGAGGGAAAGAAAAAAAAAGGGGGGGAAGCAAGAAAGCCCCTCGGCACCTACAACAAAAGCCGTTCGGAGGGCCGAGGAGCGGCACGAGCCGCGGGCACGCCGCTAGCCGCTAGCGTGAGGGGCGCGGAGGGCCTCGCCCCCCCCCCCAGCCCGCCTCGCGCCCATCTGTCACGCGCCAGCCGCGCTCGGGCGCCCCGCAGCCGCCGCGACCTCCGTGGTGCGAGGCCGGGGGTTGCGCCCACTCACCCAGAAGATGACATTGAAGCCGAAGATGAAATATTTGATGCAACAACTGACTTCAGGCCCCTTGTAGTGCTTCCCGGACATCCTCTGCGCTCATGAAGACACTTTGCTCGCGGCCGGGATAAAAACCGAAGGTGAGGGGGTGACGAAAAAAAAAAAAAAAACAAACAATAAAAAAACATAAAACAGGCGGCGGGGTGGAGGTGGAAAGACTGAGGGAGGGGGCGGCGCGACGGGCAGAGCTCAGCGCGCCGCGGGGAGATGCGGCAGAAGCGGCGCGGCGGCGGCGGCGGCTCGGCTCCGGCTTGCCGGGGGCCGGGTATGGCCGGCCAGCAGCTCCCGCCTTCTCCTCTCCCGCATGGGGGAGGCCCCGGCTGCTCGCAGCGGGGAGAAGGGGACCGGCGGGAGGTGCCTAGGCACAGGCGCGGGGCTCGCAAGCACCCGCTTGCACAACGCTCCCTCCCCCGCCCCCACAGCGGCGAGAGCCGCCGCGTGAGCCCCGCCCCGTGGTAGTGGGGTGGGGAAAGGACGAGGCCCGCAGTTGTGAGCGCCGGCGGGATGATTGACGGCGCGCCGAGCCAATCGGGCTTCGCGGCCGTCCCGCTTGAAGCGCCCGCTCCTCGCGGCGGGTGTCCCGGCAGCGGGGTGCCTGTGGGGGAGCCTAGCCGCCGGGGTGTGCCTGCCTCGGGGAGCGGACTGCGCCGTGTCGCCGGTCAGAGGGGTCGGCGCGGCCCTGAGTTGGGGTGAGGACGGAGGGAAGGCGGCGGTGGGCGCTCCCTGCAGCGCTGAGATGAACGTCCTCTCACTTAGCGCCCTTGGTCAGTAGTAATGAGAACGCGTGGCCTCGTGGCGGACTTTTAGGTCGGAGACGGAGGATTTTCCATTTTTAAAGGTCAACCAAACCCTTGGCAAAGGGCAAATGAGTGGGCAAAACTCATTGATCCGGCTGGCAGCTGGGGGCAGCGAGGGAACTGCGAGGCAGCGAGAGGAGCGCTCCTCGGCGTGCTGCAGGAGCCGTGCCACAAACAGCCCGGTTGTAGGCTGGCTGCCGTGATGAGAGGGTGCACAGCCCTCATCGCACTGTGTGCAGCTTGTTCTAAAAGGGTGTCTGCAGATCACCTCCCACCTGAATTTGTGTGTGCTACATGCACAGGAACACAAGAGGAACTATTTTACAGCGTGTTCTAGAGCTCCTACTGAGCATACACCGTCACTGGTATCTGCCAGCTGTAGCATTGTATTCATGTCTACGTGGGATTCAGAGTACACGCAGCCTAGCATTAGCAGCATAATAGCATTTCCTGGCTGAAGGATATCATCGTTTCAGTCTTGCAAGTCTTCAGAGTTTCCTGGTCCAGCAATGATAAGTGCAATACTTCTAATTGAAAAGATGGAAGGCTTCTTTGTAATAGTAAATTATGTCCCGCATTTCTACCAGACTGTAAGATAACAGTCTTCAAAAGTATGATATTTTGAGAACAACACAATAGGCTTTGGTTCAAGATCAGCTTATGCTGGTTTTGGAGCCCTGATCATGTGTGTTTTTTGAGGGAGGAAAACATTTCCATCAGGTGTAGTAGATGTTGGGGAGAAAAAGCATTTGCTGAAATGCATCCATGAAAATTAACGGGGTGTTTGGTGGTAAATAAGAAATGAATGCCAAAAAAAAAAAAAAAAAAAAAAAAAAAAAAAAAAAAAAAAAAAACCTTATAACATGAATATAACCGTACAGCTTACCATACAAATGATGTGACTGCACATGCTGTTAAGAGTGTTGTTAACACTGTCTTTTGCAAACCATCCATGGGAAGAAGATAGAAAATTAATCAGTAATATATAGATTGTGTACCAAAGAATGAAAGCACATTTCCATCTAGAGCACGGTAATGGTAGCAGGGTATTATTATTAAGGTGCTGTTTTTACAAGTCATTTCAAGTATTGGTGACAACCTGTACAAACATTGATAATATCGCTGTCACAACACCCTACTAACACCACATACAATGCACCCTTTAGCACTGTAACGCTTCACAGGCAACAGGAAAATATTGCAGAATAATATTTATTAAGCTGTATTCCATAACAGTTCTTTGATAGCTTGCCTACCAATCCATCCATTCCTGGTCAACAACTTAAAAAAATGCAATCTCTCTCAATTATAGCACTGTATTACATGGTTTCATTTGCATTCTCAATTGAGAATAGCATCATCATTGCCAGGTCATTTCAAACTCAAAAGCTTTTTATGTTTTTCCACCATTTGATCAGATTAAGAAGAATTAGGGCTTGTAGCATTAATGGTTAAATTGTACACTCGAAGAGGGTATTGAACACAGAGCCCTGGTCTTTTTAATTCACTCTGTGTGTAGGGTTCCCGTGCAGACTCAGAAATGAGCAACTAGACAGCAAAGGCAGCAGAACAGCTTTGATAGAGGTAATTGATCTTTCAGAGTGCCAGCTGGAACAGAGTCCCCTGCACCTGCAACAGACTCTGGTTTATAAACACATTTTATCTTCTGTCCTAAACAAACAGGAATTAATTTAAAAAAAAAAAAAAAAAAAAAAGAAAAGAAAAGAAAAAAGAAAAAAAAATCTTTGGCTTTGAGTCATCACTTGTGGATCCTTTTTTACATGCTTTGGTGACCTAGGTCTGGAAACTGAGCATGATTGACTGTGGCAACACTTTAAATTCAGTGTTAGTTACTAGACAACACTGAGTTCTAGTGTGATGTTTTGGTACAAAAGCCTGAGGCAATACTCAGCAGAAGTGAGTAGATATTACCTTTCCTGGCAATATGGTGAGACAGTTATTCAAATTCTGTTGCTTTATAATTCATCTACCTATTATAGGAGAACTAAGGGAGAGTATTTCAGTGACAAAGTAATGTTTCTAGAAGCCCACTGCTGCACAACATTATGCAATGTTTTAATTTACTACTGACATGAGAGAAAAGGTCCTATCTGAATGATTAAATACATTCTCTGCCCCTAAGTCAACAGAAGTCAACAGACTCCTGACCAAAGGCTGACCAAGACTGATGCTGGTAAGTGCAGGAAGTTTGATAAATATCTTAGAAGGGGAATAACTGTAGGCTTTGAAATTCTTACTTGAAGTAAAAAGCTCTCATCCCAATTCCTAAATGTGGTCATTTCTTAAATCCTGCACTTCTGTTTTTGCATCTGCCTCTGTTTGTTGATCTCTGAATTTTTAGACACTTTTCAGGGTAAAAGAAATGCAAGTGTGAGTGACTTGAGACGAAATATGGCTAAGTAGCCTATTGAAGATGGAAGTTCCATGAGTTATCACATTACTAATGTCACCTTGTGCCACATTCAGGAAGATAAAGAGTTGTGGTCTAAAAAAATTTCTACGTCTGTGTCCCTAAGTCTAGTTATTTTCTGGACACCTCATTTAAGTTGAAATTTATACAGCAGCAATATTTTTTCTGCAAAAAAGCCATAGAGCTTTCTGAAACGCAAGGTTTATGGAGTTAGAGGTACTACCTACATCAAAATACTTTTCAATCTGTTCATCGTCCCAGCCTGTGATACTATTTGTATTCATTTAGTACTGTTGCAAACATAAAAACACTTTGTTTTCTGCTTAGCACATACCCGACTTCTAAAGAGGGAGGGCTTTTTAGGCTTAAAGTTCTGAGAAAAGGATTTCACAGGACCGGACTCAGGTGCTGAAACAAGCTGTGCTGGCTTCAGTGAATTTGTGTGCCTTATCCCAGTTGTGAATACGGCTTCAGTTTTCTACGAGAATAACACAAATCTTTTCAGTTCTTTCACAAGTGCAAGTATTTAACTGTCTTTAAAGCTACACTAGTTAGTGGCTTTCTAGTGAGTATCAAGCTGCTTTTTCAACCTGAAACTTAGCCTGTGACTGCTGAATAATAATATCCTCTTGCAGGATCAACCCAGTATCATTATAATTTAGTAACAAAAGCATTGTTGTTAGACTGAGTCACAAAGCACTGTGCGTCAATACATCTACAGAGTGAGAGGCCAGAAGCTGAAGTTAGGGCATATCAAATAATAACCAGTAACCAAACACATCATACCCAGTTTTGCTTTCTCAAGACAATATGTATCTAAGCCTTAATGTTCTTTTCCCAAAGGCTATTCTTTTAGTATAAAGTTCTATTATTTCTTTTGTTCTCATGGTAAAAATTATCATATAAAGAAATTGCAGATTCTACTCACAGCAGTCCCCTCTAAAATTTGACAAGTTTTGGAAGGAAGATGAGGAGAGCTACTAACTAGAATGCAAATTTCTTGAAGGGAACTCCAGCAATGGTCACAAGATCCACCCAGCTGAGCTCTACTGCTTGCAGTCTGAAAGGTGGCTTGCTCAAGATGAGCCCAGACAAGTCTTGCAGCAGTCAAAACAGAAAGACAAGATACAGCCTCAGAAATCCCTTTGGAGCAAACATCTGCAAAATGAAATATGAAGATCATTAGTGCCAGAAATACTACTACCAAACAGTAGGGAAGAATAATGCACCCTGCTTTTCCTTCCTTGCAAGCAAAAGGAGTAGGTATGGAGGGTTTGTCTTGTTTTGGGTGTTTTGCCAGGAACCTCAAGCTGACACCTCTGCTGCTCTTGAGAGGAAGAGGTGGCATGCTTCCGCCCTCATGCCGTGCAGGTAAAGGCTAAGGAGCAAACAGGAACAGGGCTGCAGCTGCACAGCTTCACTGCTTGGGGCAAATGCTCAGAAGTGCAGCTCTGCCTCTGTAGTGCAGCGCCTCAGCAAGCCCAGCCCAGGAGATTTTTATTGCGTGCTTTCTTAACACTTCCCCTGACGAGTCTGCACGATACTGAGGCAGGAAAGGTCTGATGTGCTTGATCCATGTCTCCCTACCATACAGTGACTGAAGATAGTTCCAAGCACCTATCTCTCATAGCCAAACAAGTTCTCAAAGAGCATTTACTATTACTTTTTATAATTTTGCATGCAGGACAGTGACAGGACATAGTGAGATAAAAAGATATATGCTACTGTACAAAAGAGTCTCACATTTGCAGTCCTGAATTAGTAGTGGCTGCAATTACTACGTAGGCAATCCCCTGCACCTTCATTGTTTGTGTTACAGGGCCACTGTCATTAGTACAGAGATAAATGTAGACTCCAGCAAGTGACGCATTTATCCTTCTAATTTTGAATTGCTAAGGCACTGAACAAACTGCAAATCTGGGAACTGTTCGCTTCCTCAACAGAAGCATTTGCTTGTCTGTTT